CCCCAAAACCCCAAAACCCCAAAACCCCTTTGGCAGCAAATTGTTTGCAAAAACAGAGTGTTATATCATTAATATGTCTGACAAACTCTCAGAAAAATTAGATAAACAAGAAGTCATCCGGACCGAGCAAGAGGCTGAAGAGGAAACCAGAAAGAAAGAATTCTACAAGCAGATCAAGGAAGAGCTCGAGCAGTTCATTTACAAGATCAACTCATTGGAGAAAGCACTCAGAGCAGTCAGCACTTCCAGCTCGGAGTCCCTTTCCAAGCACATTGCTTTACTAGAGAAAGACAGGATTGAGTTCAAGGAGAACCTTGAAAATGAATTTAAAAGAGAAAAGACGATCTTGAGGATGAACGCAAGAACTTCAAGGCCAAGCAGGCTAATCTGAATGGGGAAATTGACAAGCTCAAATCCACAATAGATAACCTCAAGGATGGCCTTATGAAGCAGAAGTTGGAGTACACCAGGGAAGAAGCCATCATTAACCAGAAGTTGGTCTTTAAGGACGAGAAGATCTCTGAGCTGCAAAAGACTATCAAAGAGAGATCCCAGGAGTACCAAAAGAGGCTTGATGCTCTCAGATCGGATCTTTACAGTGAATCCCAGCAGAAAATGACCTATCTGGAGGAAAAGGACCAGAGATTTAGCGAGAAGCTTGAAGACAAGGCTGCCATACTGATAAACCTAGAGTCAGAGATCATCCGTCTTAAAAGTGAACAAGAGAAAGAGACCCTGATTTCAGTACAGAAGGTCTCGTCGCTTGAGAGTAAGATGAGCATGCTCAAAGAGAAGTACAATAAATAAGTTGAAGTTATTAACTTCGAGAGCCAGGACACCATTGGGCAGCTAGATAATGAAGTACAACAACTAGTCAAAGAAAATGATGACCTGAAGACCAAGCTCATCGACTTTGAGAGAGACTACACTGAGCTTCACAGCAATCATGAGCGGGATAAAGCCATCTGGGATGACAGGTGAGAGTTCCTCGAAAACCAGAGGAACCAGGCTAAGCGGGACCTCGAAGATGCGAGCCAAAAGTTTGAGATTACAGTAGAACAACTGCAGCGGAAGGACTCTTCAGAGAGAGGTAAGTGGCTTTCCAGCCTGACTGAATGCCTTTTGTAACTCCTGTTTAGGGAAGACAGAGAAAAGCCACTTAATCTTGGCCAACAACATTGAGAAGAAGTACAAGGATCAGATCAAGGATATCAACATGTCGCATGAATTCGCGATTTCTGACTGGAGCTCTCGCTACAAAAGCTTGGAGAAGGAATACGAGGAACTGAGCCAGAAGTACAAGATAAAATCCCTAAGAAACATCTCAGAGGATCCCTTATGAGAGTCCAAGATCAGAAACTTGCTTGAGTCCGAGCAGTACTATCAGGAGGAGAATAAATAAGCTCAAATCTCAGCTTGACAAACAATCCTTGGAGATCCAGTTGCTGCTTGAGAAGGAGAAGATCAATTATAAGCAAAATTTAGAGATCCCTGAGAAGAAGTGCAAGGACTTAGAGTCCAAGAGAAGCCTCAAGGAATTTGAAGTTGGAAAGGAGAGAGCCAAGTGGGCCCTCGAGAAGAACAAAATCAATCATGAGTACGATTTACTCAAGGACAAGGACAAGAAGATATGTCTGGCAATCACCTTGTAGTTGGTCAGTAAGAAGGAAAGCCTCGAAAAGGAACTGATGAAGATCAAAATTGATATTAGAGAGCGCTGCAAGGTCATATATAGTGGGGGCGTTAGCTCCTCAACAGCTACCAAGGAGTTGGCTAATAAGAAAGTCAAGACTATGAGCAATGTAGACTCTCCGTAGGGTAAGAATTACAAGCCTTATAGTAGTATCTATAAGAAGCCCAAGTATTCTACCAAAAATTAATTGGAGATAAGTAGAAATAAAAATGTTTCAATATTTGTCATCTTAGTTGGGGTTTTGGGGTTTTGGGGTTTTGGGG